GCGACTGTTTAACAGCTTGAAGCATCTGACCTGATTTGTGTTCGCACAGCGAAATATTCATTGCAAGTACTAGACGTTAAGAAGATGTAATGCAGTTTGAAACTCTCAAGAATAAGTCTTAAAAGCAAATGTACTGTTTCTGAACGAAAAATATTCCTGAAAAAAGGGAAAATATATCTTGCACATTTTGCATAAACAATTGAAACCTGCCACTTATTAAAGGTTTCGTGTTTCGCGCGTGATAACCTTTGCCTTTGGCTTTCACAGGGTGTCAGAATTCAATATTCGTTATTTTAAATGAGGCTACCATCCGTTAGAAAATCTCAATCTTTAATCTCGACGTGAAATTTTGACTCCAAGTACTGAAATCCCTCTGTAAATGAAATTCATTCCTTAATTATGGGCGGAACGCGCTGATCAAAAACGTGTCAACAAGAGAAGCCAATTAGTATCGGCTCCTGGCGTTAATTACTGGCTGTCAAACTTCAAATGTTTGGCGGCGGGTCACGGAAACAACAGACAAAAATAACCTTCGCAGCACGACCGTGAACTTTAAATAGATTTTAAAAAATTATCATGGGGCGCAGGGTACGCTCTCTTAGCTCATTCTCTCTTGTTGTGATGTCATCAGTTTTAAGGGTCAAGGACAACTTTGTCTGCTAACTTGTACAGATATCTTTTTAAACCATACCAGAATGAGCACAATTCAGTCAAGGGTACCCGAGCAAAAAGCAAAAAACTATGTAACATTGACCTGAAAATATCAATGAAAATCTTGTTCCACTACCCACATAACTCATCTAATCCTAAGATCCTAAAAGTTTTCCTAAAATCTTTTCTAACCAAAATGAAGCCAACTAAATACCCGGTAAAAGAAAAAAAAAGGAGGCAATAAATGAAAAAAAGAGGGGAGGAGAAATTTTGCTCTGCGCATGCCCGAACTTCCCACACTGATATTTTGCACCTGGATCAGAAGGCCGCGAAGTGTATGACCTGTCAATGGCTTTATGGTAAGGTTTAGCTCTTTACAGCGTGACAGTGACCAGAAAACCGCTTGACTAGCTTCAAAACGCGTTTTTGGCAAAATTTCCAGGGGCGAATGGGTTAAAGGAATTTCTTATTTCCCACGTCATGGGCCAATTTTGAACGCATTGAGAATAGTCTGCCTTGCCGGTTTCAAATGTTTCTTGTCTGGCACATTGTGTGTAGGACGTGACAGTTACATATAACCACTGGTAACTGCCACATGTCAGTGAGTGTCATTGATCATTTGAAACCAGCAAGGTTAACTGTCTTTAGTCTAGTTTAAACCCCTTTCAGACGACTCACAAAGTCTCAGGAATCACTTGCAAACTTTTCCCATGCCCCTTAATCCATAAAAAAGTTGAAGAGAAACAATAGACCTTTTTACTGATTCGGCCGCCATATTGAATTTAGTAGATTTAAGGAGTGTTATGGGATGTCCCAGGGGCACTCGCTCAGTATTTACGTGGGCTTTTCAGGCAAGCAGAGAACGTCAATGTATATTTCTCGGTAAAAAGGCGATCATTATTATTTCATCCAAACACCGCACAACAATCCTTTTTTTCTTATTACAATCTTTTTCTAGGAAAAGTTAAAGAAAAATTGGCCAGAAAAGCACGCATAAATACTGATGTTATTATGTCTGATTTCCGATTGTGCTTATGCTCCCTGGTTATCCCATAATACTTGTTAAATCCATTTCTCCTCAACATTGCCGCTGTATGAGTAAAAAGGTCTATTTGCAGTGTAAATTCAAATGCACCAAACCATAATTGTGAAGCTACAGGTGTAACACCTTACCTGTTCTGGTGATTTAATTGCCTGGATCTTTTTCACAAGTCCTAGTTTCTCATAATGTTGGATAATTGGCATAGTTTGTGTTTCATATGTGTGAAACCTATGAAACAAGGGTATATTGATTGGGCAGTTAAAATTAATATTGGGTAATTTAATCAAGCTTTACTTCTACTCAATAAGGAGAGGACAACTCTTGAATAAGTCCTCTGTGAAGTGGAAACAAATCGTTTTGCACCTATTGCAGCATTTAAGTCACCACTTGCTAAGTTAAATACCCATGAAAAGTCACGCAATAAAATAAGGCACGCAGTCCAAATCAACAAACAACAAGACAGCTTAGTAATGAGGACACAGCCCTGTGGCAGGCAATTAGCAACTTTGGGTTACACGCACAAATACATACAGCCTCACTTATTGCCCCACTATCATGGGGTAGGACAATAGTTTTGGCAGATCGAGCCTTTCTGATCTCCTTAGCACTGCATGCGCTGGATCAGACAAGATGAAGGCAAAGGAATAAGATAGCAAGGCACAAACAATGCCAACAGCTCAGGGGAAGCTGCAAGCATGCCATAGAAGCATGAAATGCATTCCTCTAAGCAACACACAAAACCCGAAATGAAGTTCCCTGACACACCAGCCATTTTTGGAACCAAAGAAAGCACACTGCCTAAGGAATACGAATTGCCTTCTGACTGACAATAATCACCAAGAAAAGGAAAATTAAATACAATTCACAAGCAACACTTCGTTAAAACCAAGTGAATAACAAGAGCGAATGCATTGAAAATTCTGTTGGATACATACCTCTTTTTAAGACTCTCAATGTTATCATCAGGCCTCCCACTTGACTCTCCTCTCAGCATTATTCTCTTAATACATTCCTGTTTTCAGGGAGATGTTTAATGATGTATTAACCTTCAACATAAACATTTTCACTTCTGGTAACTATTAAGACACCCTGATGACAATAACAAACACTGTCTTTACGTTTTTCATGGTTAATCACTTTGAAAAAGAAATGGATTGCATTCAGTACAGCAGAATTAAGACATTACAGGGTTCATACCATTTTTTGAACAAACAATTCAAGGACTAGTCAAGGACTTTCAAGGACACATTTCCCATTTCTCAAGGATTCCATTCAGTGCAAAAAAAAAAGAGCATTCTAGTCTATGTCTTTTTTAGTTCTTCTACAACATGACCAATTTTATCCTGAAGGTCTTCCTGTGTTTGCTCCTTTTCTAAGGCACTTGAGAATCTGGGCATGGGTGTAGCTTTATTAGGCACCGTATGAAGTCTTACATAAAAATTTGCTTTTATTACTGTAATGTCGAAATACATTGTAATCTTATACTGTAAATTTGTCAGTGACTAAATAATATGTGCAAAAATGACCCCGAAACCACACTATGAATAATAATAATAATCGAATTTGGGTACAGCCCAGAAAAGCTCAAAATTTGATTCTATGCGGGAGATTTGGTGACCCATATAGAAGACCAGGAGATTGGTGCTATATCCAGGAGACTTACAGATAATTTGGGAGAGTTCACATATAATATATATGATGATATGGAGTGATATAGTCATGACAGACTTGCACGACATAACAACAGATAACTACATTTTCAACAAAAATGCAAATTGATTGTACTGTCAAAGTACATACCTCTTCTGTGCACTCAAAAAATAAAACACACTTCACATCCGCTTTTCCATCCATAACTTTATGCCAGCCTTGAAGATTATTTTCATTCCTTGGAAACCCATCTATGAGGAATTTCTTTGTGCTACTTTTGTTCATTGCCTAGCAAAATAACAAAGACCTGATTACCTTAAAAATAGCAAGTTTAGTATTACCATCAACTTTGATGATGGTAAATTAATGCAGAGGTTGTTAAAAAGTCAATCACTCTCTACTCAGGAAGTACAAGTACATAGTCACCAAGATGAGTTCTGGGTTCAAACCACTTACAATTTTATAATTAAAAATGTCTACTGTCAGAGGCTTTACACTGCGTTTTAACAGAGAAGAATATTACTTTGGTAATAATAAAGTTAAGAATAGGTTATTATAAATTAGAATGAAAATTTAAATATTATGTCAGTAGTTTTCCACCAAGAAGTCAATATTTAGATGTGCTTCTGTTGTCCTTAGAGCTCTTAATATTTGTCATGTCATGGCAAGAAAGCCTACTTTACATACAATGACATACTCTAAAGAAGAAACTCGCTCAAATTCAACTTTTTCATAGCAGAAAAAACAACAGCAACTACTACTATACAACAATAACAACAACAACACAGAGTGAAAACAAAACAAAATACCAAAACAAACATTCAAAACAAAATGTTGTACCTTTTCAATCAAGCTTATTGTGATTTCTACAGGAACAATCTTTCCTTCCTTCATACAAGTTTCAATAAGGTCTCCATTTTCTGAGCCACTAGCTCTTTCCACTCTTAATAATTCCCCTGCTGATAAATGAATGTATCCAAATTCCTACAATAAAATACTGCAACTACTGCATTTAGAATGAAAAAGTAGCCCTGACATGTACATACAGACAGATAAGACAAGAAACTGGTATTATGAAAAACTACAAAATTAATACAGTGGAACCTTGTTTAGTTTGGTTGTTTAGTTAGACTTAATCTTCAAGGGTAAGAAGAAAAGCTAAGTCCTTAACCGGGGTGTGTACGGATGTAAACAGCCCATTAAGTCAGAAGTTCTACTTTTTGGCATAAGAAGTGCATATAAAAGTGCATCATAAAGCCTTGGATAATATTATAGATACCACTAAGTGTAAATTTTTCGAAAGTGCGGACTGTTTTTAAGCGAAATATTCAAAATATTGTGACAGAGTGGTTTGAAATAAACAACTTTCAATTAGTAGCAACAAAGTTATTTGTTCAAAAAGGTATGCTTTAACGATATTACAGCCAGTATCAAAATCAAACTACGCATTATTATCAAAGACTGAAAACTGTGACGAGAGGAAGTAATTCGATTGCCACGTTTGCATGGTCAGTTGTTAAGCTTCAAATTAAATATTTGTTTGTATTTTAGCTAGAAAGGATGTGTTTTCACCGCTACCTTTACAATCTTCTCACATTGTGTGCCTTTGCCAGCTCCAGGTCCACCCAAAACAAAGATAACAATTGGCCTGACTACTGAAGACATGACTCTTTGCGCTGGATAATTGATCCTTCCGAAAACAAATGATAAATGAAACATGTAATGACCAAAGTTCAAGTGAAATGTAATTTAAACGCTTCGAAAGCGCGAAGATTTTTACCTCGATGAGTATAGTCCGCTGTCCATTCGAATCGTAAAGCTTTAATTACTCATTAGGGAGGACCAGCAATGTACGTTTTTGTTCTTGGAAGAAGGACAACTTTTTCTAATGAATTAGGACTATAACTTTTCCACTATACGGAAATTTTCCTTTAAAGATGATTTCTGTAGCGATTTGAGGAGATTATTTGCGCTTCACTTCTGTTTAATCCTTTGGAAACAAGACACCTTCCCACCCCCGTTCAGTAACTCAGTTTTGCTATTCGAAAACGAGTCTACATCAACAACATGGCGGATCGGCGGTACTCTCTGTGAAATCTCCGCTGAAATATTAAATTGCAACAATTGGTTGACATGTACTTTCCAATCGGCTGGCCAAAGTATTTCAGCTCAAAGGATGTCCACTGTGGAGAATTAAAATCGCTAAAATACAACAGAGATCGTTCGCTATTGGCCGTTGTTTCTGATCACAGTGTCTGCATATGGAATAACCGGGTAAATATGAAGCTTAACATTTATGTTCATGTGATATCAAAGTACATTGTAGTGGTATTTTTTGCTCTCCGTCCATTTTAACATTCCTTTTAGTTAAATCCTTGCTTTAGTCTTTATTATACACATACAAATTCCAAGCCAAACTACCTGCCTCATATATATACTAACTGGACACAGCTGGGGCAGGTCAGCACGTACAGAAATATCTTGTCTTGTCAGAATCTTAGTTTTATAATTTTATCAAAACCTTATCTTTGAAATATGACAAAAACCGTCAGTCAATTTGATGACAATTATCTGCTTTGTTGTCGCATATAGCTTTATGTTGACAAACACGAGACAATAAAACTTAAGCTTACATGTACCAGGAGTGTGAAGCTAAAATTTGACATTAAAAAGTTGAAAATGCCTTACTTAGCGTTTTGCTTGGAATGAAGAATGCTGATTAACATTGGGCTTCTCTTGATCCCTATAAAGACTATCATTCACTCTACTTTTTAAAGTCTTAAAAGTCTGTTATGTTTCAACTTACTCTTCATAACTGATCATGTGACGCATTTTATGTCCCACACTTCTGTCTATCAAGCTCTAAACGTCAAGTAGCAAAGATTCAGCTATTTCCCTGTCATGTTGTGCACTTTTTATTGGGTTTATATAAATGTTACAGTTCAGCCTCGTTTTCATGCTGCAAGAGCGAGGGCCTAGACAAAAAACCCGCTTAATAACAGATATCATAACATTTGGAGTGCGGCAACAGCACAATTCTTAATCAGGAAGGGAAGATGAAGATTTAATCCATGTTGCCTGCTTCTACTCAAAATGTGTAGCGAAAATGAAAAATGAGCGCCCTGCGTGACAGTGCTTCCTGACTAAGCTGAACCAGTTGTATATTTTAAGTTTACTCTCATTTATAACTCTTTTTTATTTTGTCCATATTGGCTGAAAATTTTTCGTTAGAATATTGAGTGTAATTTGTAAGATAAATTTCGATACAAATTTATCCATCCAAAACCACATAAATAATGCACAGTTTTATGTTCCGGAAACTAAAAACTTTGTCAATGTTAACTGCTAAAACACATTGAAATTTAAGCGGCGATTAAAAATGATAACTGCGATAAAAATCAATTGATATCGATAATTATCGATTAGCAACAGCTTTTTTCTTTGTCAGTTCTTATTGATTTGTAATTTAATCAATTGATTTAATCAATAGTTATCGGTATTGATTACTATCAATTATTGACTTTATTGATTACACTAGTTGTGCACCAGCCAGACTTAAAATAGGAGACCAGTCATCTCGATACTTAAGCAGTGAAACTGCCCAACAATTTCAGCTTGATCACTTAAAGTTTAGTTTAAAAGTGCATGAACAATTTCAAGAAAAACATATGGCATGAAAATTCCCGTATTAAACCAAATATGTGAGATGACTTGTACTTGTTTACATGTTAAATTGTTATCAAAACAACAAGTAAGCATAAAATATGGTTTCCCAGAAAAGAAATAAAAACACTTAAAATGTAACAACTATTTTATGTTGCAATGTTACATGACAAGTCAAGCAGAAATAATCCATATGGCTGCCCAACTGTCCCTATTGAATTTGACGGCACACACAACATCTCATGGCTTTTTGAACAGTTTAAGGTTGATTTTTCTTTTCCTCAAAATTGCCTTAACCTTTTAAGTCCCGAGAGTGACCAAAATCAGTTTTCTTCTATAACAATATCAAAACAAGCTATGATTTAAGTATATATTGTAGTTCAATTTTATCATTGGTTGAAATTTTATTTTCCTTTGTTTTGGGGTATGGTAATGTACATGTATGATAATGAGTTTAAAACAAAGGAAAATAATTTTTAAATCTAAACCAAGAATGAAATTAAACAAAACATACATTCAACCTTCAATTTCGTAGAATAAGTTCTGATCTGTTGTTTATATGGTGCATGTACTCTTCATTTTCATGATGTCCTGTTATTTGCTTTCACATTTCCAGCCAAGAGTATTGATAGTAGCTTATCGACGCTCATATGATGCCATTAAAGATGTTGGAAGAAATGTTACTGTTGCTTGGAAACCGGACTCAGCTGCTTTAGCAGTGACTGTAAGTACTTGATTATAAAGCAAACTACCCGGAGTTGATTTTGAAGGAGTATTGATGAAGGCTTGAATGTGGATTGTTTTAGTAATCAAAAATCAATAAAAAACTCAATGACGAAAAACAAATCAACCTTGACTGTAGATTAGGAAAAGCTGGATTTACCTGTAATGGAGGTTTTAAAAATGTGTACAGAATGTATAGTATGCATAGACCTACAGCTGTAGGTACTGGTATACAGGCAGAATTAGTAGACTCTCAACTCATCTCCACCAGCAGAACAAAAATAACCATAGTGAGTGGATCAAATAGATCAAATGGTCATGTGCAGCTGTACTTTTATTGCACACTTAAACCTGACATGATCAGTCGTGAACAAATAGTGTTGCAGTCTGCTCACTGAGGCTTGTAGTAACAACCGCCTGTCAGAATAATATTGAAATCTTATAACTTGATGAGGCATTGAAATCAGGTCATAATAATATTATTTATCAATTATTATACCAACTTTTTTTTCAGACATCAGAGGGTAAAATTGTGTTTTTAGAGTTGCAAAGAACCAATGGAGTGCAACTATATGTGCCAAGATTCTCCAGGTGATATTGCAATAATTATGAAATTATTATCAAATACTATTGGACGAAAAGTGTTATCTGAAAAATTATACAGATGAAGGAATTATATAAATATTCAAATACTTTCTTTAAAAAATGCTTACCTCAATCAATGTCAATTTCTGACCATCATTTTCCTGTTCCATCAAAATGTAAAGGGATGTTTAGTTGATTGCGTATTATTGTTTATTTTAATGTATAGCATTTGTCACCCATCTAGTTGCGCTTTTGCTGTTCCTTTTTAGGCAGTAGCTTGGCTTTGAGCATATTATCTTCAGTTCTTTGCAAAACCTGTGAAATTTCCCACCATTTTTAGTAATCCAGCACTATTGATGTCACTTTATTGGATAACCAATGCAATATCACAATTTAACATCTTCAAACTTGGTCAATGCTGGCTGGTTATTAGCCAGAGGATTCATACCAATCAAAACCAGAGACATTTTATTCAAAAATAAATATTAATAATTTTGAAATTATCTCACAATGGGCACTTTTTGTGTGTTTTAAACTTTAAAGTGAGAATGTTCCACTCTATGATGTCAAACAATTCCATGCTATATAGTACCATGAGAGCCCTTGAGAGTTGTAAGCTTACCACCCTAAAACCCCTGTCACTTGATTTACAATGTCCTGTTTCCTCTGATTACTGCATTGTACAAAGTCATACATGTATTTGTATGTGCAGTGTAAAGCAATTCTATACAATGTAAACCCCTTTTTTAAACAAAATCAGCTCAGTGACTAAAGTAGGTAATCAACAAAGTCAGCTTTGGATGTATCAAACATAAGCCTCCAGTCTCCTCATGAAAACAGTGTTTTTTTTTTTGTTTCAATACTTGTTTTTATAGTCACTCCCAGAGAAACGCATCTCACTCTTCTCAAGCTGGGGTACCTGCTTTGAAACTTGTAGAAATTGGTATTGTTCCTATCTCAGGAGGCATAACAAGGTAATAATTTTATTAATTATTAGCCGCCATAAAACCACAGTCATATGCGATATTAAGCATCACTTGTTATGTTTCACTCTGTTGTACATGCACAACATAGTTCAAACTTATCTTCCTGTTAAAACCTTATGGTTTCAATCTAGTTAGATTCTTTCTTTCCCTACTAAACCCCAATATATTATTATTTATAATTTTGAATAAGTCTTATCAATTTCTTTTGTTTCCCGACCCTAGTTACATTTGTCATAGTCATGAATAATGTAGGGTAAGAATCGAAGATGTAAAGAAAATAAATAAAGAATCATCACCTTCACCTTCAACTAATCCTCCCCAATAAATTCTATACAATTTGTATGTAATGATATAATAAATATTTATTTTATCACCTTCTTCGTCAATCTTTGTTGGTTATGTCTTCTTAATTTCTTAGTGTGGCACCGAGACATAATGAATTATTTGTCTCAACTGGAAGTGGTTTACTTCAGCGTATCAACTGGCATGGATTATTAGAGGGACATATGACCATGTCCATACACTCAATACCATTCACAACTGACTTGGAAAATGCCAGAGGTATTTCTTACTGATTAATGTAAGCTGCCGCCTTCGTCAGGGGCCTGTTGGATAAATCTAATAAGGTCACATGTGAAACTGCTAATGTCTGAGCATTTATTAAAAGCAAAAGTGCTAATTTTCATGGAGTAAATTTGAGTGTGTATGCTACCATAAAAGGTTTTATTTGCTGTATGTGAAGAGATGCCACTGAATTCTCAT